ATCTGCCATAATATAAACAGAGTCTTTGCCAAGTGGAATGAGAACAGTGTAGTGTTGAGCTCTCACACACTCTCTCTCTCTCTCTCTCTCTCTAAACTGCTAAAGTCTCAAGTCTGCCCGCCTCCTTCCTTCGCTCAGCGTCGTTGTTGTCCGTGGAGCGAGAAGCGCGGGCCAGATCAAGCGTAGATGGCCTGCGACCTGATTGCTGTTTATCTTGGCCCCATTGTTACAGCTGCTATGATATTCTTAACAGTCTTTCTGTGATTGTTTACCTTTTCATGTTCATCTGGATTCTTCCAGGATATTTTATTTGCGACAATTTCAAGTTGGCACCTTGAATTTATTTTGGGGGTTGGTTGTTTTAAAATTTCATCGTTTTGTAGCAAAAGAATTGTTATTTGTTTCTTTAATATAGTAAGGAGACAGATTTACAGGAATATAATAACTAAGATATAACACAAATTAAAAAATTAGAAATGACAAAATTGCCTATTATTTGAAATGCTTGCATACCAGTATTTTATCACGCTCTTCATATACAGGATATGAAAATGCAAAGAATACATTTCCTTTGTAATCGATCATGCATAGTGCAGAAAACAACAGATGTATTGGAAATGTATGGAAAGAGGGAATAGGGGCAAGAACCAGATTACAGAAATACCAAAGCCTCAAGGAATACCAGGTTTATTGAGACATTTTTGTCTGATGAGGAAAAATAGAAGACTAAAAAGAAAGAGAGAGGGGAAGAGAAAGAGGAGAATGAGCATGAAAGAGAGAAAAAAAAACAGCAGCACGATTTCCTGGTTGTGATACAAATGTCCCGAAAGGAAGCGCACTTGTATTCACAGCATGTGATGTGTTTCGCCGCTCCACGTAACTCAAGCTGCCAGAAAAATTGAGCCGTCTTTAATCCACTCTCCCTGCGGACGGAATCAGCTTCAACCAAATTTAATTGAAACAAAATAATACTATGATTGAAATGAGAGTAAATACAGTTTGAGAGAAAGAGGAAAGTGGGGAAGGGGGGGGGGGGGGGTGGTTTGGGGGAGCTTTTTTAATTTTCAAAGGCAACATGGTTGAACTAACATGGACTTGATCCGGTAGATGTATGACCCAGGGTAGGTTCCGTGATCTTGAATAGGATTAGAAGGGGAAAGCGTCGGAGAAAGAGAATAAATGTAAAATTAATACTCCAATGGAAGACTTAGTACAACATGTCTTTCTTTTTTTCCAAAATGTCTTTGTTTGTAGTAGAAAAGGTGATTTTAATTCAGAAATCATCAGATTACAAGTTTATAATTACTTTTTTTAACAGAAATTTGCAGGAGAGAGTTTTTTTTCTCTTCATATCTGAAGACAGTTTCATTAATAGCTACGGGTAGATATTAAAAGAAAACTGTAATTTTTTTATTTGATTTTTTATTTGTCAGAGTTATTGTTTTCTTATTTGTTATTCTTTCTACATGTATAATGTTCACAGTATTTAAACAAAATTGCAATACATCAACTAATTTATGATATAGGAAATAATGGTATTCATGGTAATTGTCCTTTCTCATCGAGAAGATTGACTCCATTGTTTGAGTTGATGCCTGGTTAGTACCAAATGAGACAAAAATGACTGAAAACATCTCTAATTTCATCTGATCTGAACCAGGCCCTTTTCTTTCATGACTTTGCTCATTTACTAATTTCCAGAGCAAAACATTTCCCCTGTACGAAAAGAGAAACCTCTGTATAAGGCCGATGCTGAGATACAAATTAAGAAAGAAATTAGCAGCCGTCAGCTTTGCCCTGTAGACATAAATACCGCCTCTTTGAGTGATACAATTGTCTTGCATTTCCTCACAGAAGATCTCGAGAAGTAATCTAGAGCTTTCCCAGAAATACCTGATCATTAGACTTTAAGACAAGCGTATCATACAGATTGAGCAGAGTCATTGTGGAGCAAAAGTGAAAGAAAATCTAGATTGTGAATTGACAGAAAAAGCTGTGATTATGGTTTAGGATGCCATGCTGCAAATATGTCTTTAATTTTAATTGGATTAACCTATTTAAACAGAGTATTGAAGATTGATGATTATTAGGCCATGATGATGAATGTATTGTATTTAATTTGCTTTGTAATATTTGATAGGAAAACTGGATATTTAACACTCCCCTTGATCAATTGAAATAAATACTTCGGTACAAATAGAGAAAGCATGATTTATTAAAGAAATAAGACTTTCTTCTCCCCATTCCCTAAGTATAAAATGCTTTCTCGACAGACTGTTTGGAGCTTAAAATGGTACGCACATATGGTTGAGGTGTGCTTTGGACATGACTTCAAAGATTCCATCGATCCTGGAGTTTAAGGAGATTTATTTGACGAAACATCTAATTTTTATGTCTCGGGGTACATCCTATAACAAGTGGCAATGTTTGGGGATACAACAGTCAAGATAGCCTGTGTTCCGCGGCAGGATTGTTTGAGCAAGCATTTGTCTTGGGACGGCCGTTCCATCTTGAGGGGAGGGAGAGTATTTCGAACAAAAACTGTTTCTTTTTCTCTTTCTGTCAGTCGAACTGTAATTAAATTTCTTCGTTTTGTGGAATTTAATTAAATAGCACAAGATGACATATTTATCTAACTCTCCAAGTGACAGCTTTAATTAAAAAGAATTTGCCTAGACTGCCACGGGTCGTGTACATGCAGCATAACAGTATGACCTAATATTTGCTTAATGTAGTCGGGGTGAAGAAGAGAGAAAAACCTCCTCCTTGTAATTGTGACAACATCAACCTCTATTTACTTAGAAATGACTCGACACACACTACAAATTAAGTCAGAGAAATTTGTTTGTCACGGGATGTAAATAAAGACAATATTTTTGTCCAATATTGACACCGGAACCCTCATGATTAATATCTTTAAGACCTTTCATCCAGTGACCGTCCTCTCAACTGGGATAGTGTGGATTTTTTTTGCAAACAATTTCATCTCTCTCACTTGAAAAAATCTGGACAGATGGCGTTGCCTTAAAGACAAATTTAATTAAGAAATGTCGGTCAGTTGTAGGTTAGAGATCTTGGTTGATTTCTTGAAGTGCAGATGTAGAATTCCTGCAGGACTTCTCTCCCTGGATACAGTGTGTCTCAGGAAGTGTCACTTGTAGCAGTTTATCATCGTTAAGAGAAGGATTAGGAGCGAAGCAGCAGACAACCGAAGACATCCCTCTCTCAAAAGCTTGTCTTCTGAATATGTTTTTCATCTTTACGACTTTGATGTCATGAAGTTTCAATTTGAGCGGAACGGCGGACTATCGCCGGTGGCGTTTTTAGAGGGCGTGGGTCTCAGTTTTTTCGAATCTGATCGGGATGATGCGGAAAGGTCTGGCAAGTTAATTTGATTTGTAGAGAGAGAATTGATCTAATACATGGCTTCTGGGAATGCTAAGTTAAAGGAAATCATAGGACGACGTGTCTCACTTTTCAACTCGGATCAGCCTCCCATGTTTTGCCATGTTAACTGTGTCAAGCCACACCAAAAACCACAAGATGAATTGAGCTTCATTGCTTCTCGTCTTCAAGATAAATCTCATAATCTCTTGCTTGTTTTTTAGTGAAGTTATAAATGAAAATGATACTAGAAAATAGATGTACAGGTAGATGTAGGATAAAAAAAGGAGTACTTGTAGTTTGTATCATCAATTTTTAGACTGGACCCTTATTCCAAATATTTCTGTTAATGATTTGTCATGCTTTGAAATGTAGAAACCCACCTCCCGACTTAGCACACCATATTCGACTTTGACGTTGATGATGAGATCACGGTGGCCTGCGCTGATCAAATTTTTGCGCCTGAGCTGCTGCCGCAAGGCCAATCGAGGTGGACGTTACACACATTGACCAATTAATCGGTCAAGAGCTCCAGCAAGCTTGCCTTTTCTCTCCCTCGCAGTCACCCAATCTCGCGTGTTCATTGGGATATCTCTTACCACGGTCTCTCTATATAGTGTTCCAAATCTGAAGTTGAGATGAACTGTCATGGGGCAGAGAAAGAGAAATAAATTGAAACGACTGAGTAATATATATCTAGTTGCAAAAGTAAACATAATACGGCCTTCTGATCTTAAATCCAATAAATTTAGTCTTTGATATCTGGGGTCAGTTAGCTGGTCAAAGCCAAAATGCGATGTTTGATTTGACCACTAGCCACAGGCTTGGGGGTGGCTTGCAGAATTTGATTGAGCCTTCCATGAACTCTTAAAAAATCTAATGGCCATGACGTACTCAAATAACCTTTCTCCAATTTCAGGGCTTTCCAGCCAAAGATTTTTGGAATGATTGAAAATGAAAAATTCTTATATCTGTTCCTTTATTTAATTAGAGTACGTTGCATTTTATTGTTATTTTTTTTAATTATTTAATTTTTAGGATTAATGGGACATTTTAAAGGTTATTTTTGTAAACTTTTCATAGCATGCCATGTAGGTGAACAGTTTTAATGTCATTCAACCATTTGAATGAATTCAAAATCCAAACAGATTATCCCTTACCAATCAAAAAAATGTTACCAAATATGAGCAAAATATTGCAGTGTACAAGATGGCGCCTGATTGAAGCTTAATAGTGTCTCGAATCTGAGCGACTGAAGTGTAACACGGTTGCCATTTTCTACGCTAACCGTATAATACTATGTGAATGAATCGGGGTCGGAAGAAATTGATGACGCAAATATGATCCGCACCCTGGTTTCTGTACATGATTAATGCGCTGATCAATAAGTTAACGGTTACCTGTGGACCTATGGGGACAGATTCTTAGAGAGTGGGCATCAATCTTACATGGTGGCCGCTACTCTCCTCTCATTCTCATTCAAAGGATGGAGGACCCGGTGTGGGGGAGGGGGAGAAGGAAAGAGGGGATGGTATTGAGATTGAGAGAGAGAGAGAGAGAGAGAGATAGAGAGACAGAGAGAGACAGAGAGAGAGAGAGAGAGAGACAGAGAGAAAAAGAGAGACAGAGAGACAGAGGGAGAGGGGCAATGAAAAAATGTGAAGTCCAAACTCTTTAGTTAGTCTTAAAAACATCTCCTGAAGATGTCTGAAGATGTTTTGAATCTTTATTGAATGAGAGAAGATGACTAAGGCGAGATATGTCTCTGGAGGTTTGTACATGTCGTGGAGATGTCTTCTCAAAGTATAGAAACTTATGTGAGATATTTTATTGATGGGTAGTTCAAGTGAAGTTAAGCTTACACCGTGGATAGGAGGCAAGAAAAAGGAAATAGAGAGGAAACGTAACATAAAGCTGCACATATGGGACACAGCACAATATAGAGAGATGGAGAAAAGGAAGTGATATAGTGTTATTGTGATAGTATAAAGTGATAGTGATATAGAGGTAGAAAGATTGAGAGAGAGAGGTATGTAAAATATAACAGAGTGAAAGAGGGGGTAGGAAGAGAGAGAGAGAGAGAGAGAGAGAGAGAGAGAGAGAGAGAGAAGGGGAGGGATGAGGAAAGAGAGATGGAGAAATTTGAAGAGAGAGATAGAAGAGCAGAGATGAAAAGTGAGAGGTGACTCTGCTTAAAAGTGCATGGCTTTCCCTTCACACATCAGCCCCCATTTTACTTTGATTAATAATTGACTGATGAACAAACACCATGTGAAATGATACAAGTCCTCTATCCATCATTCAAGAGGGTCGGGGATAGGGGGGATGAGGGGGTTGGCAAAGAGAAGAGTAAGAATAGTTACAAGATGTATATGACTCAGCATTCAAACCACAAGGAATGGCTGGGGTAGGGATGAGGAATGCATGGAATGAAAACAAAAATAAGGAAAGATAGAGGTATGATTATAGAGAAAAAGAAGAAAAGTGTGCGTTGATATCATTCGCTGAAAGCCAGAAGGACGCTAGCTTGTGCACTCCGTAGAGTTAACATCCTTCTGGCTCTCAGCAATTTGCAAACAAAACAATGAGATCAATTGTTGAAAATTTTAATGAGTTATGACTGATTTATCTTCTTCTGAAGACAGTGGAGAGAGCAGGGAATAGTCATATTCAGAATTAATAAATCTATTTCTGCAAAATTACAAATTTTAATTATTATATTTTCCACCAAATATATATCATGATAGTAATGTGTCATGGGCAAAATGGCCCCATATATATTGAAGAGAACAGAAAGGAAGAGATCTCAAATGTCATTTTTTACATGTATGATAGAAAAAGATATGAATTTTAATTATTTTCCCCTTTCTCTCGCCAGAAAAGGAAAAGCAAACAGCAAATTTCCCTAATGCAGCTACAGTACACGACCAGGAGCCCTGATACATTATGAAAGGCTTCCATCTGTCACACATGATTTCAAATGGACCTTATTACGAACATTTCAATTATTGATACACGAATTGACTCATATTGTTTGAATTGGTGTATTTACCGAAACGCCATAAATGGCAGCTGGAATTTGATCAGTCTTTGGCTAGTAATATTTGACAGCCTCGCAATTAAAGCAATCATCATCGAGGGCCACTTTTAGGTGTAAATGGAAAAAAAAGGAAAACTGGAGAGAGGAAGATAAAGCGTGTGATTTTTCAACAGTTAGCCATTAACTCGGTCCTTCTTCTCTCTTGATGAACACTTGCAATGTTACCTTACCTTCATTTTTCTCAATGTAAACTTATCTTGATATTATGTTTCTATTTCTTTCCTTCTCTACTTTGCCAAAATAAAGATACAACTTTAAAACATGCAGATCATTTTTATTTTAATTCCTCAATTCTGCCCCTTTATGTGTCTCTGTTTAATAAAAAAAATTATTGTCATATTTATCTTCTTCCTCACCTTCAAATTATACTTTCATTTAGTGCTTATCTTTCACACCCACCCCTCTCTCTCTCTCTCCTTCTCTCCTTCCTTCTCCCCCTCTCTCTCTCCTCATTCTCCCCTCAACCCATAGTTGACATAACACGATGTGCAGACAAGCAATGACAACAAGTCAGTCAATGACTTTATTTGACAACAAACTAAGCAAATTGACAGAGTCTTTACTCCATTGTGTCCCTTTCCTGTCCTTCTTGTTCAGCTAAACGACATCAATCCACAATAATAAATCCCATGTTTCACAATACCTACAAAGACTCCTTACAACACTATCCTATCTCCTCCTAATCTCTTTCATAAATTCTATCCCGATTAATCAAACAAATATCTCTTTTATCTCTTCTCTCCTTCCCCCTTGGTTGAGCAAAGGAGGGGAGTTTTTCTTGGTGTACATAATGATGCATCACCAACATGCTTGCCTTACTCCATCCATTTGAATAAATACATTGCTCATTAATCATGGCCGCCTCCAGTGTATTTGTTTTCTTCGTAGACAGAGTAACCTGTTCTTCTTGCAAGACTAAACAAAAATCTTGTACTCAGAGGTGAGATATTAACAAAATAATGCAATATGCTGCAATTTCATTTCATTTCAAATTTTAAGAGCAGCCCAAATCATAAATTTTGCCTTTACATTCTATCACTATCAGATTTATCCAGGATGACATTTTCCTCACCACTGGCATGAGCCAGAAGTATATTTTAACTTTAATGAAAATAAATCAATTATTTCTATCTTCAAGTAATTATTAAGTACATGTCAGAATGGAGTTAATGCCATTCTGGCTCCTAAATTGATGAATGTTAGCAATGCTTTGGACTAATTAGATGGTATAGGTGTATATGGCTTTAATTTCATGATATTTGTAACAACTTGAATTCTGATTTCATGACCAAGGATCTTCAAACTTGATTCCCATTCATCAGTGCAAATTATAAGCACCTGTTCGTTCCATATTTTGCTTGAAATATTTTATTTCCAAAGTTAAAAAAAAAAAAAAAAAATCAGAAACGTCTCTTTTATGTATTAAGCACCTTTGATTACATTCAGCATGATGTTACTACTAAGTTCATATCCACTAAAAATGGAGCGGGTATACCAAAAATATATATATACACAAAAGATTATATTATGTACTCCTGCATAAAATGCTTTCATCTCTGTTATTTCACTATGTTCAACATAGTGACGAAAAAGAAGTAAGAGAAAAATGCTTAGAGGCAGATTCATATAGTCAGAGAGATTTATCAAAAATCAATAATTTAGTCATTTCTTCTAACAAAGAGGCACAACAACAAAGTATGAGATATCAAATATTGATGCATTTTTTTGAGCTCACAGGCGTCCAGAATAATACCATCAATCACATTTTTTTATGGAACAAATTACTTCTTTCGTTAAATATAGTGAGAAAGAGATCATACCTGATTGTATAGTTAAAGGGGACGTGGGGAGTATCAATTTATTCGCCTGCACCTAGCAGCACGTTCTGACGTAAGATGCGGACCAAATATAAAACTATGAACAGGTGACTTGTATTTATATACATTAACCGCTTTATAGAGGAAGTTAAATTCTATTCATAATTCAGCAGATGTTTTAATCCTAGTTTTTTAAATCTCAAAATGCAAGTAGACGATTAAAGGCAATTGTCTATCGTTTGGTTAGGACTCCCTGAAGAGGGACTTATCTGATTTTTTTTTTTTTTAATAACTTTGATATCTTAATCTTCTGTGTGAACACAAATACTAAATGATTGCGATATTTATGTCCGTGTGAATACCAGTACAATTCTGATTTCATCGGTATCATAGCCCTGTCCAGGCATTGGTCTGGGAGCGCAGGACTAGTAGATGTTTCTTGAAACTAAATATCTTATTCTCAGTGTGAATGCATATACATATGTACGTTAGGATGATTTGTGTTGTCGGTGTGAACACTGGTATAATTCTGAATGTACCAGTAGTAGCACTGTCCATTGGTCTGGAGACGTAAAATAACCTGATGCTTCTTTAAACTAAATATCTTGTTCACGGTGTGAATATACATAAACATGAGGATGATGTTTTTGTTTTAATATCGGTGTGAATACAATTCTGATTGATCCTTCCCCTAGAGGTAAGTTGTCGTAATGGATCATCAGAATCAGATTTTGCATGAATCGCAAAAAATCATTCACACTTGAGCGCATTCGTCATGGAGGCAGATCGAGGCTCATAAATCAGCTCTTGTGTCCTCTGCCTTTTCTTCTTTCATCATTTTAATTTAAGTGGATGTTGCTAGAGAAAAGTGAGAGAGAGCAAGAGATAGAGGGAGGGATAAGGATCGAGAGGGGAGAGAGACGGAGAGTGGGAGAGAGGGGTACAAGAAGGAGAGCAAGAGAGGGAGATGGAGAAGGAGAGAGTTTAGGCAAAGGAGTTAAAGAGAAAAGTAACTTGAGACAGATCTTAAGATTGAAATAGGATAAGGGAGAAGGGAAGAGAGTCTCACAGCTAAAAAGAGATGGATGGCAAACCCACGCAATAATGATATCTTGAACAAAAGAAATATTCTACATTGTGGTTAGTTCCATCATCATTTGTACAGTAGGTGCTCAACTATCTCACTGTGTTGCTGTATTTGGCAATCTCGAGCTGATGGAGACATACATTTTGTTGCTGTAGTGATATAAACTTCAAGGAGCATCATGAGTTCCTGAGGTGCCCTGGAGTAACCTCTGTAAGGAACGTTGACCTCCGGATGAGAGGGGGCTATGATCTCATCCCTGTAGTCTCCTAAGTTTACATCATTCACCTCAAATCTTTTATCAATTCATCATTGCCAACAAAACTTCACAACTTAGGCATGTGAATGACAATCATGATCATGATAATGATAGTTGATCAGCGTATCAAACAACAACTTCAGAATTTTGAAGCAGACAAAACTGATCACGGTTTAGGCCTTGGGATGGCAAGGGGATGGAAGGGGGGGGGGTGCTACATCTACCTGTGCTGCGTCATTGAGAAACATATTTCAGGAGAAAAAAAAATTGCATTGCCAGCAAGATAGTTCCAGGTGATCCAAAAAGGATGTCTTTCATGACTTCCAAATTATCACACCGTCTAGCTCATGAGGGGGTATGTCTGAATCTCCAAAAAGAGGAAGACCCAAATTGCTGATAAGTTGGCCTATGCCGGGGACGGCATTGAGGTATTTATAAGCGATTCAGCCTGACATAGTTGCTGAATTCTTTCGTCTTGTTTCGTCTTCTTTTTTGAGTGATGTAGGTGGATGCGGTGTTTAATAGGTCAGAAACATTGAATGTCTTCAGAGTAATATCCGTTGAACAGACATAGACTTCCATGGTAATGTCAACAGCATTCAGAGGTTTCCTTCCCCTCTGCTGGATAGTCTACAAACCAGACCTTAATTAAGGCTCCTCTTATCGAATCTCACAGAGCCAATACAATATGCGCCGTCACTTAAACATAAATAACAATTTTTCATTTTTATTAACATTGAGGTCTCGTTAGAGTCGTTTGGTAAATGTTGAAAGAATACTTTGTCATCTTATGGTTTGGTTAACAATTGAGTATGCAATTGCAGGACAGTCACATCATGGTAACAGTATTTTCTGAAAGCCCCAATTTTTGTCATTAATAACTGATTGCATGCTGATGCAGTACAGGTTATGATATTAATAAAAATCCATAACAGACTGAAAAAGCAGCCTGCACTCACGACCTCTTCACAAAACATTGAATTGATATCAGATTTGGAGCAAGGCTCATTGCAGAGAAGGAATGTAAATATTACACTTCCTGAGTTGAATCGTAGACAAAAAAAGGGAAAGAGATTTCTTTCCATATCCTGTCTTATTGCTTATGTACACCAGGTGAGAATATCAGTATACTTGCTGTTTTATTTGATGGCAGGATCAAAGCTATAGAGGATGTGACTTTTCCTGTTCCAAGCTCTTCAGTAAAATTGTGAATTTCCTCCAGATTTTTGACATTGTTTGAGAGGGATGGTAAACATTATTAGTTCCTTAATTTCCTTTTGGCATTGTCAAGTCTTGAACAATTGATAGTTGGAAGTTTTGATTCAATTTGAGGTTGTTTTATTAAGACAGAGGCCATTGCAAGTGAATATAAACAGACTTTCTAAATTGATCTTTTTATAAATGCAAGGTACATTTAACCTCGCATTCAATGCTGCTATTTTTCATTCCTTGTAAATGGTTAATAGGCCAATTTTGGAATCGGGAAATTAAGATTGATAATCTTCAGTATCAACGATATTATGTTACACAATAGTAAGGAGACTGGTGATGCATGTATGTATTTAAA